GTATTATGGTCATTTTATGTGACCTCAACCTATCTTATGGTCATTTCAATTTTGTTTTTCAGATGATGTATGTGCTGATTGTGGCGTAGGGTTTTATTGTGAGACTGGTGCGTCATCACCTACGGCATGCCCTGATGGAAAATACACCACTGATACAACTGCTACAGCATGTACCACATGTCCTGCAGGATCAGAATGTACAACATCTACTAAGACAGACTGTTCAGCTGGTTACTACTCATTAGGAAATACAATGTCATGTACAGAATGTCCTGCAGGTATTGAATAGTTTTTTTTTCAATAAATTATTATTATTATTATTATTATTAAGTGGAACCTCATAATTTTTCAAAATTTCATTTTTTCATTGTCCTTAATCTATGAAATAAAATTTGATGTAGTAAAAATAAATGATAAGTAGTACATTGAATGACTAAATGAACTGAATACTATTTACTGAGTATACCAACTTGTAGACCAGTCAATGCATACAATGGGAAACACTAGTAGGTAAAGGTCAGCATTGCCCCCCATCACATTGTAGACTAATATATAAAGTGTGAAACATAGTAGGTCAAAGGGTCAGTATTGCCCCACCGCATTGTAGACTAATATATAAAGTGTGAAACATAGTAGGTCAAAGGTCAGCATTGCCCCCACCGCATTGTAGACTAATATATAAAGTGTGGAACATAGTAGGTCAACATTGCCACTACCACATTGTAGACAAATATATAAAATGTGGAACATAGTAGGTCAGAGGTCAACATTGCCATTACCACATTGTAGACCAGTCAATACAGAGTGGAACATCATAGGTCAAAGGTCAGTATTACCACTACCACATTGTAGACTAATATATAAAGTGTGAAACATAGTAGGTCAAAGGTCAGCATTGCCCCCACCACATTGTAGACTAATATATAAAGTGTGGAACATAGTAGGTCAACATTGCCACTACCACATTGTAGACAAATATATAAAATGTGGAACATAGTAGGTCAGAGATCAACATTGCCATTACCACATTGTAGACCAGTCAATACAGAGTGGAACATCATAGGTCAAAAGTCAGTATTACCACTACCACATTGTAGACTAATATATAAAGTGTGAAACATAGTAGGTCAAAGGTCAGTATTGCCCCATCGCATTGTAGACTAATATATAAAGTGTGAAACATAGTAGGTCAAAGGTCAGCATTGCCCCACCGCATTGTAGACTAATATATAAAGTATGAAACATAGGTCAAAAGTCAACATTGCCACTACCACATTGTAGACAAATATATAAAATGTGGAACATAGTAGGTCAGAGGTCAACATTGCCACTGCCACATTGTAGATCAATGTATAAAGTGTGAAACACAGGTCAAAGGTCAGCATTGCCCCCACGCATTGTAGACTAATATATAAAGTGAGAAACATAGTAGGTCAAAGGTCAACATTGCCACCACCGCATTGTAGACTAATTTATAAAGTGTGGAACATCATAGGTCAAAAGTCAACATTGGGGTACCATTGAGTATGTGAAATTGTCATATTGCAAATATTTTAGATTTGATTGTTAGTTGTATGTTTTTTTCTTGTACAGGTTACCAATGTCCTGTGACTACTTCGGCCCCTGTGGCATGTAACACTGGTTGGTACAATGATGATCCCTTGTTGTTATGTCGTCAATGTCCAGAAGGGTCAGTCTGTTCTGATGCTACCCAGGCACCTGTTCTATGTGATCCAGGTGAGTGTAGAAGAAATGGTTCATGTTTGTTTTCATCAAAATAATTTTTACTTTACACACAGCTTGACTACTGTAAAAGGGTTAATTATTCACTGGGTTTTAATTTTGCTTATTTCGTCAACTGGAAAATGTGCTAATTTAAAACCCACTGAATATGCCTGAAATGCTAAATCAGTGAAATTTAAACACAATGAAAATTAGTCAATTTACAGTACATTAATGATGTCATAATTTGGTATAGCGCTCCCAGTGTTGATATGTTGTAACAGTTATTTACCAAGTAAACAAATTAATAACATACTTTTTTCCATTTTTAGGTCAATATAGTAGTAATGGGTCAACTGTATGTCAGGATTGTCCCCCTGGTCATGCCTGTCCAACAGTGGGGATGACTCCATCTGATATAGTGGTGTGTGCTGTTGGTACATACGCCATTGCTGGTTCCATCGCATGTACTTCATGCACAGCTGGATATTACTGTGCAAGCACACAGTAAGTACTTGGTCAGCTTTGTTTTCAAAATTGATGCGAGCTTGCAAATTTTTGTTGATTTTTTTTGACAAATTGGAGAAAATCCTAAAATATCTCTGTGATGCACTCATATTTAAACTACAGTTGTGTGCAAATTTATTCTCAGCTTTACTCTATCTACATACCATATACTTGTATTGCCTAAAAACACATAAAACCAGTTTATGGTGTTGTTTTAATTCTCATATCATTTTACTAATAATAGTTTTTTCATGAAAAAACACAATTTGGTCAAATTGTTGGAATTTGGTATTCTTTGATTGTAACTCAGCGAAAGTGATTTGTTGGATAGACTTTTGTTGCAATTTATCTTGTGATTGTGGAAATGGTACTTCTTAGGGAAATGTGAAATTTCTGGTGTAGCCTGTATAGTAATTGTGTTAACATGTTCTAAAGTAAAACCTTTGCCACCATATTGGTATCACCCCAAAACTTGTGTCCCTCTGATTATTACAGAACTGATACCGAAATTGCATGTGAACCTGGTACCTATTCTTTAGCTGAAAGTACATCATGTACAACGTGCCCCGCTGGTGAAGCCTGCAGCAGTACGGATGGAACGAATAATCAAGTTTGTGTAGCAGGAACATATAGTTTATCCCGAAGTATTACATGTACAGATTGTCCTGCAGGGTTTGCATGCCCTAATACTGATAACGATTACCAAGAAGTCTGCTTGCCAGGAACATATTCCATTGGACGTCAAACACAATGTACTGTCTGCCCACCTGGAAGGTATGCATAATATATATTACAGCACCATGATTGGCTGCTTTATAATATCACATGACCACATGTTCATTTGCATGACATATTTATTTATCTATTGTGCTGTATTGTGTAGTTTACACCTCACTGTTTGTTTTATTGAAATTTTAACATAATTTACCATGTATATTTGCAGATAAATCTAATATTTGGTAAAAATAAAATTTCAGTTTCAGAATTTTCAGTTGTATACATTGTATATTCATCCACATGAATGCTAGAGATTTACACTCCTCGTTGAATGTCATGCTAATTTTTTTTTTTTTTTTCAACACTGTTGATCAAGATCTGTAGCTGATGTGAAATTAAATCAGTTTAGTCAAAAATTAACAAAATTATAGGAATACAGCATATATGTTAAAGTATGCAAAATGTTGCATGCAAATTATTGTGGGAAAATATGTTAATTTTTTGAATGCCATATTTGTGACCATTTAGGTAGAACTTGTGAAAAAATGGGTCAAACTGGTTCATGAACAAGTTGCTCTACCTCCTTAGCAATCGTTATTTTTTCTTTTTAATTCATCACATTTTGAAAGCAACAAGCAACTGGTAGCAAAACTTGATTACCGTATTGT